TGTCTACAGTCTGGGATGTGGCAGTACTGGAGTGGGAAGTACAGTGTCTAAAACTCTGGGGATGTTGCTGTACTGGAGGTGGGAAGTACAGTGTCTACACTCTGGGGATGTTACAGTACTGGAGGTGGGAAGTACAGTGTCTACACTCTGGGGATGTTACAGTACTGGAGGTGGGAAGTACAGTGTCTACACTCTGGGGATGTTACAGTACTGGAGGTGGGAAGTACAGTGTCTACACTCTGGGGATGTTGCTGTACTGGAGGTGGGAAGTACAGTGTCTACACTCTGGGGATGTTACAGTACTGGAGGTGGGAAGTACAGTGTCTACACTCTGGGGATGTTACAGTACTGGAGGTGGGAAGTACCTTACATACACTCTGGGGATGTTGCAGTACTGGAGGTGGGAAGTACAGTGTCTACAGTCTGGGGATGTTGCAGTACTGGAGGTGGGAAGTACAGTGTCTACACTCTGGGGATGTTTGCTGTACTGGAGGTGGAGTACGTGTCTACACTCTGGGGATGTTACAGTACTGGAGGTGGGAAGTACAGTGTCTACACTCTGGGGATGTTGCTGTACTGGAGGTGGGAAGTACAGTGTCTACACTCTGGGGATGTTACAGTACTGGAGGTGGGAAGTACAGTGTCTACACTCTGGGGATGTTACAGTACTGGAGGTGGGAAGTACCTTACATACACTCTGGGGATGTTGCAGTACTGGAGGTGGGAAGTACCTTACATACACTCTGGGGATGTTGCAGTACTGGAGGTGGGAAGTACAGTGTCTACAGTCTGGGGATGTTGCAGTACTGGAGGTGGGAAGTACAGTGTCTACAGTCTGGGATTTTGCATTTACTGGAGGGTGGGAAGTACCTTGTCTACACTCTGGGGATGTTACAGTACTGGAGGCGGGAAGTACCTTGTCTACACTCTGGGGATGTTACAGTACTGGAGGTGGGAAGTACAGTGTCTACAGTCTGGGGATGTTGCAGTACTGGAGGTGGGAAGTACCTTGTCTACACTCTGAGGATGTTACAGTACTGGAGGTGGGAAGTACCTTGTCTACACTCTGGGGATGTTGCAGTACTGGAGGTGGGAAGTACCTTGTCTACACTCTGGGGATGTTGCAGTACTGGAGGCGGGAAGTACCTTGTCTACACTCTGGGGATGTTACAGTACTGGAGGTGGGAAGTACAGTGTCTACAGTCTGGGGATGTTGCAGTACTGGAGGTGGGAAGTACCTTGTCTACACTCTGGGGATGTTACAGTACTGGAGGTGGGAAGTACCTTGTCTACACTCTGGGGATGTTACAGTACTGGAGGTGGGAAGTACAGTGTCTACAGTCTGGGGATGTTACAGTACTGGAGGTGGGAAGTACAGTGTCTCCTCTGGAAGTTACAGTACTGGAGGTGGGAAGTACAGTGTCTACACTCTGGGAATGTTACAGTACTGGAGGTGGGAAGTACAGTGTCTACAGTCTGGGGATGTTGCAGTACTGGAGGTGGGAAGTACCTTGTCTACACTCTGGGGATGTTACAGTACTGGAGGTGGGAAGTACAGTGTCTACACTCTGGGAATGTTACAGTACTGGAGGTGGGAAGTACAGTGTCTACAGTCTGGGGATGTTGCAGTACTGGAGGTGGGAAGTACAGTGTCTACAGTCTGGGGATGTTACAATACTGGAGGTGGGAAGTACAGTGTCTACAGTCTGGGGATGTTACAGTACTGGAGGGGGGAAAAGTCATTTGTCTACACTCTGGGGATGTTACAGTACTGGAGGTGGGAAGTACAGTGTCTACAGTCTGGGGATGTTACAGTACTGGAGGTGGGAAGTACAGTGTCTACACTCTGGGGATGTTACAGTACTGGAGGTGGGAAGTTACCTTGTTACACTCGGGGATGTTTACAGTACTGGAGGTGGGAAATACAGTGTCTACAGTCTGGGGATGTTACAGTACTGGAGGTGGGAAGTACAGTGTCTACACTCTGGGGATGTTACAGTACTGGAAGTGGGAAGTACCTTGTCTACACTCTGGGGATGTTACAGTACTGGAGGTGGGAAGTACAGTGTCTACACTCTGGGGATGTTACAGTACTGGAGGTGGGAAGTACAGTGTCTACAGTCTGGGGATGTTACAGTACTGGAGGTGGGAAGTACCTTGTCTACACTCTGGGGATGTTACAGTACTGGAGGTGGGAAGTACAGTGTCTACACTCTGGGGATGTTACAGTACTGGAGGTGGGAAGTACCTTGTCTACACTCTGGGGATGTTACAGTACTGGAGGTGGGAAATACAGTGTCTACAGTCTGGGGATGTTACAGTACTGGAGGTGGGAAGTACAGTGTCTACAGTCTGGGGATGTTATAGATCAGAGGGTCATGTAAATTATAATATCCGAACACTAGTGAAAAAACTACTGAATGAGTGAAGGTTAATTTTTGGTTGCTTAAGTAACAATGTTGTTGGAGTGCTGAGGTGTTCTTAACTACCAGTCTTATTCAGTGGGGAGGAATCACCCTCATCATCGTCAAAATAATCTGGCCTAAACTTGTGTAAGTTTATTTAGGCACAGGTACTCATAGGTACAATTATCATACATAGTGTAAATTAGCTAGAATAACCTCCTAAAAGCTCAGACACGGTAACTTATTTTCACTGTTCTTGTGTCTTTTTAGTGGCCTCGGAGTGCATCAGGGACACATAACACAAGGGCAAGACATGGATGGACACATTGGGTGTGTTTCCTTATGTAAACCTGTTGTCCCGTTCACCTAGCAAGCAGGTAGGTACCTGGATGTTAGTGGACTGGTGTGGGTCGCATCCTGGGGGACAAGATTGAAAGACCACAATGGAAATAAGACAGTCCTCGATGACGCACTGACTTTCTTGGGTTTTCCTGGGTAGCTAACCCTCCGGGGGTTAAAAACCCGAACAAAATCTTATTTTGTCTTAACCAAAGTTCCCCGCTACAGTTATATTAATTTCCACTTTGGTCGAGGATTCTTCTCCAGACATCGGGAAGCTGGACTCGATACGACATAACTTGTAAGTGGCCCTATAAAGGATAATAATAATAATAGTAATAATAATAATAATAATAATAATAATAATAATAATAATAATAATAATAATAATAATAAAAATAATGATAATTATTATTATTATTATTATTATTATTATTATTATTATTATTATTATTATTATTGGTAGTAGTAGTAATAGCAGTATTATTATTAGTAGTAATAGTAGTAGTAGTAATAATAGTGGTAGTAATAGTAGTAGTAGTAGTAATAATAATGGTAGTAGTAATAGTAGTAGTATTAATAGTTGTAGTATTAATAGTAGTAATAGTAGTAGTAGTAGTAGTAGTAGTAGTATTAACAGTAGTAATAGTAGTAGTAGTAGTAATAGTAGTAGTAGTAATAGTAGTAGTAGTAGTAATAGTAGTAGTAGTAATAGTAGTAGTGTAGTATAGTAGTGGCAGCAGTAGTAATAGTAGTAGTAGTAGCAGTTGTAGTAGTAGTAATAATAGTAGTATCAATAGTAGTAGTAGAGAAGTGTTTGCTCATGGAGGGACCCCAATGGAAATAAGTCACTTTATCTGACTTTCTTGGGTTATCCCAGGTTCACTACACACATGCTGCCATGTATGATAAACTATGTAAGTGTATCTGTGTTAATCTGAATAAACTAACTATGAAGACTTCCGGCTGTGCCAGTGTTGAGGTCTGGTGGTCCATTTGATCTAACTCGGGAATTTAATACTTCCGGTTCTCTTCCCGGAGAAAACTTTGTTTCCTCTTTCATTCCCGCCCAGATCTGGGCAACATATATCTTCCTGGTCCCTGACTCTATGACATTTGTGGGTTTTGCGCTTAGTTTTGGTTGTAATAATAACTCCTGGAGTCCGAGAAGCAGGGTTCAATAAAGCGTCAACTCTGGTGGCCCTGAATAACCCAACAACAACAACAATAATAATAACAAAGTTGCAATATTGCTGCCTCTTTTTTTTTTTTTTTACAAATTGCTCAGTACTCTTGTGAGTGCCTCAGTTGCAAGTTGCAGGTCGTACTCCTGGCACTCGCTGCAACAAAACTGGTTAAACAATAAAACTAAAGTAGTAGAAGTTTGATAAATCAGGTGACTTCACTGACTCAGGTGAATTTCTCCATCTTTACTCTGGGCATCCTGGGCATTCCTGGCACCCTGGGCATCCTGGGCATTCCTGGCACCCTGGGCATTCCTGGCACCCTGGGCATCCTGGGTTTCCTGGCACCCTGGGCATCCCTGGCACCCTAGGTATCCATGGCATCCTGGGCGTCACTGGTACCGTGGGTATCCTTGCACTCTGGGTTCCTAGCATCCTGGGCATCATTGGCATCCTGGGTATCACTGGCATCCTGGGCATCACTGGCACACTTGGCATCTACTATCCTGGGCATCACTGGCACCCTTGGCATCTACTATCCTGGGCATCACTGGCACCCTTGGCATCTACTATCCTGGGCATCACTGGTACCCTTGGCATCTACTATACTGGGCATCATTGGCATCTAGCTTCCTGGGCATTACTAGCACTCTGGGCATCTATTATCCTGGGTATCACTGGCATCCTAAACATCTATTATCCTGGGCATAACTGGCATCCTGGGCATCATTGGCATCTTGGGCATCACTGGCATCTTTGATTTTTATATGAAGTTCTTTTGCTGTTCCCCTTGAAACTGGTTAGGGGTATGTGATCCAGGTCTCATTACCATGCAATCCTAAATAAGTAAGTGTTACTGAAGTTCACTACACTAGTTCATAGTTTTATAATTGTCTTAGTTTGCTTGAAATTCATTGCTTACTAGTTGCTTTCTTTTCTGCCTAACAATGTTTTATTACTTGTAAATTACATTATTTTTATACCACATAAAAAAAATTAAATTTGAATTTGAATTGAAATGTGTAAATTAACCTTGAATAATCTGATGAAGTCAGACGTTGACTTACTTCCAATGGGGCCATTATGCATTACTTTCTTATCTAGGAATACAATAACAGCAACACCAATAATAAATAATAAATAATAATAATAATAATGATAAGCTTCCTTCTCGTATTTCAACAATTAACTTGTTCAGTATGTAATAAGATACAAATTATGTTTACTGTGATACTAATCTGGTATGATCTATGTTTTCTCTTTATTTTGAAGATTTTTTAGGATTATTAAGCTAAAGTGCTAGTAACCCAGGATATCCCAGTAAAACAACTGTCCATTAGGGTTCTTTGATCCTCTTTCCCAGGATGCCACCCACAACAGTTAGGTAACACCCAGGTACCTGCTTACTGCTAGATAAACAGGAACAGCAGGTGTAACGAGATTTACACCAAAGTACCTACTTACTGCTAGGTGAACAGGAACAGCAGGTGTAAAGAGATTTACATGCCAGGCACCTACTTATCTAAATAGGTACCTGGGTGCCGGTCTTGAACCCAAGTCCTTGCATGCGAACTTAATGCTCTAACACTTGAGCCGGGTGTCATGTGTTTGTATATTATTGTATTGAAATATTCACTTTCAGTATACAGATGATTACATTAGACACATTATTATTGCAGTCAAGCAAACAATGAGGGTAAATGAGAGTAAGTGTTGGCATTAGCATCTGTGAGTGATGTAGAGTATTTTAATTACATGTTATATTAACTTAGGATTCTAGCAATCTAATGCTTGTAGTGCAGTGTAAATTAGTATTAAGACCTAGTATCAAGCAACACATCTATATAATCATTTCTGTATAATTTTTTAAATATAATTTTTTTTATTTGATTTTAGATTTGAAGAAGTTCGTTGTAGGCCATCTTGCTCCAGGGGTGAGATAAATAAAATAGAGATGTGTCCACAAGAGACACATTACAATAACTCCAGTGTAACTAAATAGCATGATCTTGACAATAGGGACAGTGTTATGTTAAGATCTTTATTAATATGTACAGAGGATATAAAATGCATGCATGTACTGTACATATATACTCCTGGGCAGCGGTGTTTTGTCCTAAGAAGAAAGGTAAGCATTGCTTACCTTATAATAATTCTTTCCTTCAAAGTTAATATAGTGTATTTCTTTGCTTATTTAATGTATTATTAAATTGTACATTACATATCATTTTTCATTTTTATTATTAATGGCCTGCTGCTGAACTGTCATCTGATTTCTGGCTGGCATATTTGCCTCAACCCATTTACATGTACCAAGAATGTCTCTGTAGTATAATGTAAGCCACTAGTCTATCTGAGCTGGCTGTACCTTGGTTCTGTTCTGTAGTGTTCTTTGTATTATTTAACCCATAAACGGTCCAAGCAGATCTACGTTCACATGTGTAGTGCTACAAAAGTAGATCTACGTTTTTTTTACATATTTTCAAATATAAAAAAAAAAGTAGATCAAAGTTTTTTTTACACATTTTCAAATGTAAAAAAACAAAAAGATCTACTTTTTTTACATACTTTCAAATGTTGAAAAAACGTATATATACATTTGGACTGTTTACGGGTTAAAGGAATTTCTCTGCTCTTCTGGTCCTGTCCTTTTCTTTGATGATGAGTTTAGAGTCTTGTTATGCCCTGTAGTATGAATGTTTATCTTGATGAAGCATCCATGCTTTGTTGGTGTTGTGGTTTTTTCAAGCATATTGTTATCTTGAATTCTGGTTTTTAGTTCATGTGAAGCTTTGCCAATGTACTGTTTATCGCAGCCACCACAAGAAATGGTGCGTACTCTGGCATTCATGTTGTCCTGGCCGTTGTGTCCTATTCTTGTGAAATCTCTAATAGTTTTGGAGGTGATGACTGTGACAACAGAACCAAATAAGGAGCTTTTATTGGGTTCTTTCTGAGAGTTTACAGAATTTATACCCTATATACTTAGAAGAGGAATGCAGCATTATCAGTAACAACTTTGCCACACTGCACTATTCTTTACACTTCATTCAGGATTGCAGACAAAGGTACCAAAAGATACTTTCAGCATTTAAAAAGGATGATGATTGCAATAGATGGCTCATTTTTCGCTACAGATAATATTGCAACTATCATCACACAAATGTTAAATTCGAACAGATATCACAGTCTTCACTACCAAAACTATTAGAGACTTCATATGAATAGGACATACAGCCAGAACAATTTTACCATCAGAGTATCACCATTCCCTGGGGTGGTTGTAAAAAAAAAGATAAATTGGCAAAACTTCATGTTATATGATAACCAAAATTTAGAAACATCAATATGCTTTTAAGATCTGCAGCACCAACAGTGCATTGGAATATACAGTACATTTATACCTAGTGGTATGGCAAGATGGTAAACTCATCATCAAAGATAGACAGAGAGTCAGATGTACGAAAGTGTTTTAATTACTACACACAACATTACTCAACAGAACCAAGGTGCATTTAGCTTAGCTAGGCTACTGGCTCACATTATACTACAGAGACATTCTTGGCAATAGGGTTGGAGCAAACGTGCTGACCAGAAACCAAATGACAGTTCAGCGACATTGTCCACTATACCTTTTTGAGTGCTCCACTGACCCAGGATTCATTGCACTTCTTTGATTTCACTTCACCTCTTTCTTCGCTACTAGGAGTGTATATACTGTATGTGCAAACATTTTGCATCCTTTATATGATTTGATCAAGATCTTAACAGATCAAAATGTTGTCTCAATAAAAGCTTGTGTGTTTTCCTAACAGTTTTAATGGAAGTAAGTCACACTGTTTGAATTTATTGTGTAATGTTAGGTTAAATTTTTGTAATGTACAATACATGTGTGCCAGTAACATCTTTGTACCCTCAAAACCAATGTACTTTATTTTATGTTATGTATGCAATACCCAAATAAAAGCTTATTTACTGAAACAGTGGCAGCATTTTTCTGGCAGATGAGTTTTGCTCTTACAGCTCTCTACTTTCATTGCTAAAATCTCATCTTATTCTGGATCTGTTCTGCTTACTAGCTCATTTATTGTTGCTAATTCATGTGGTTGATTTAATTATTTTTTTTGTTAGGTGAGTGATGGCACCTCCCCCAGGGATAAAAAGCACCTTCTTAATTCCTACTGATCTGCTCGACGATATTGCAAGGTGAATGGTGGCTTCTGCTTGAGCTTGCTTATTATATCTTTATCTCTTTGTTTTTTTTTAAATTTTGAGTTTTCACTTTTAAGTACAGATTTGTGTATTATCTGCTGCAAACATTTTGGTGTCTTTCAGCATTTCTACTCATACAGTCATTCTTCACACAAGTCTCCTCTTTGTCCTTCTCTTCCAACATCTCCACTTACACAATCATCATTCATACATTCCTCCTCTTTGTCCTCTTCTCCCAACATCTCCACTTGCACAATATATAATCCTTCTTGCATTCCTACTTGTCCTCCCACAGCATCCCTGCTTAGACAGTTATCCTTGATACAGTCCTCTTTATCCTCTCCAAGCATCTCCATCCACAGTAATCCTTCACATATTCCTCCTCATTGTCCTTTCATAAAATATTTCATTGTCTTGTACAAGTGTGTCTGGCTCTACTGTGTGAGTCACAGCAACAATAGCCTCAGTTGCATATTTACACTTCAGTTAAAAAAGGTATTTTTAATAGAGGATGTGTATCCCTTTATGTTGAAAGAATGATGTTAAATGTTCTCATTTGTGTGTTTAAAGATTCCATATAAAGCATTTATATATATTAGCTTACAGCTGCTCAAGAAAACATCTTTGAAGGTATTCAGCTGGGCTTGAGTTCTAGAGGTGGGAAGTACCGTACCTGCACTCTCAGAGATGGGTGGGAATGTTACAATTCTAGAGGTGAGATGTACAGAGCCTGCATTAGCATGGATGGGTGGGAATGTTACAGTTCTAGATGTGAGAGGTACAGTGCCTACACTCTCAAGGATGAGTAGGAATGTTACAGTTTTAGAGGTGGGATGTACAGTGCCTGCATTAGCATGGATGGGTGGGAATGCTACAGTTCTAGAGGTGAGAAGTACAGTGCCTACACTCTCAAGGATGAGTAGGAATGCTACAGTTCTAGAGGTGGGAAGTACAGTGCCTGCATTTTCAAGGATGGATGGGAATGTTGTGTTTTGTAGTGTCATTTGAATTGCCTTTTCCTCATACTTTTGGCAAGACAGCTATTCAGTGAATGATAACAAATGTATTACCTTCTGTAGGTCACCTTACCTTTCTGAGAATAGCCATGTAAAAACAAAAATGATGGATCCATTAATTTTATGCCTAAATTTACAGGAATTATGAGGAGAGGTAACTCATAGTTTACTGGTAGTGTGTACAGCTCATAGCCAAAGGACTCGGGTTCATCCTAAGTGAGTCGAGATGTATAGGCAAATCCCCATAATGCTGCTCATGTTCACCTAGCAGTAAGTAGGTACCTGGAAGTTAGGTGACTGTTGTGGGTCACATCCTGGGAAGGACCTAAGGGCCCCCAATGAAAATAAATCACACGTGTCTCGTGACTTTCTTAGGTTATCCTAGTTTACCTGCTCTCTGGAGTTAATGATCCAAAAAAAGTGATCCTCATTCACTAATCAGTTTTGATAAAACTATTACTCAGATTAATTTAAAATTTGGTATTCATGGTTACCTAATAGTGCTTTAGAAGCATCAGTGCTTGGAAAATTTGGAAAAGCTATTATGAAGTTAATGCTTTTCCTTGAAGAGCAGACATTAAAAAGGTCCATCCTTATATATTTTCTTCACGCTACTTTTACCCATGTGTTGAATGTTTTTTACAACATTAAGGGCTGAGCTGTGGGAATTACTTGTGATATACCTGTAATATATCACAGGAAACTCCTACAGCTGTATTTGTTCATTTTTGAATGTATAGGCGAGCCCTGCTTTACAGCGCTTCACTTTACAGCATTTTGCTAATGTAGAGGTTTTCAATTATACCCAACAATAAATATATTCACCACTCACTATAAGCTAAGGATGAAAATATTTTAAGGTAATTAATTTGTTTATTTTGTTTAAAATAAAATAAGTAATTTGTGTACTGTATGTGCATTTTTTAGGTCTACCTCTATTACTCATTTAATACAGTGGACCTCCGCTTTACGATCAGCTCCCATTGCGACCAATTATGTAAGTGTATTTATGTAAGTGCGTTTGTATGTGTATGTTTGGGGGTCTGAAATGGACTAATCTACTTCACAATATTCCTTATGGGAACAAATTCGTTCAGTAATGGCACCTGAATATACTTCTGGATGAAATAATATCGTAAGCCGGGGGTCCACTGTATATGATGCTGTAAACATGTTATCAGGCTTCTATATACATTTGAAAGTGAAAAAAGGCTATGTTATACTTTACAGCAATTTTTGCTTTACAGTAGTAGCCCATAACCTAACCTGCTGTATAAGTGGGGCCTCCCTGTACAAGGCTATGGCGTGAAATAATTTTCAGAGGCAGAGCAAAAAATATACGTACGTATATAACTCTTAAACTATCATTCAGATTTTGTAATAAAGTTTTATATTCGATGTCATCCAGTTACAATGTTATAAGGATGGATGCCATTGAAATATCTGTAGGAGAAATAAAGAAAATGTTGTTGTGTTAACTATTGGTAAAACCAAATCAAAAGGATGAGAACTAAGCAGTCCACCCTGAAATCACTGTATGACATCACTGCTGCAAGAAGGTAAAACAGCAAACATTGTGCTCATACTGTACATGCTCTCATAACTGATCCTCTAACATCCAGAATTTGACATCCCACGTGTCACTTCTGATATGAAAATCAGTCATATTCCCACCTTAAGGTGGGCATTCTTTCATCTGTCTGCCTTTCTGTAGATAATGCTTTTACAATCATGTTGATATTTGATATACATTAAATTAAATTTAATGCAATCACATTTCATTAATTAATAAACCACTATTAATTATTAATAATGAATTATTCATTTTAACCCTTAAACTGTCCAAACGTAGATCTACATTTTTTTACATAAGAAAGCATGTAAAATAGAAAGTTCGGAGCACTACACATGTGAATGTAGATCTATGTTTGGACAGTTTAAGGGTTAATAATTAATATGGTGCATATTGACGTAATGGTGTATATTCGTACCCTGTGGCCTATACTCTCATGTTTGGTGCACAGGCTGCCATTTCAGGTTGAAACTTTTTATAGGATTATTTTATTGTTTTGGATTTAAGTCGTTTGTATTAAAAAAATGTCTACGAGCAACTCACACAAGTCAAGAGATGGTAAGAGGAAGAGCAAGGTGTTATTAATGAATGATAAAAGGCAAGAGGTGAATCTCAGCCTAGGTACGGTAAGTACTGATTGTATTTTTAACAATTTTTACTCAGATGAATTCTTTTTGACACTGGCCATCTCCCACCAAGGTAGGGTGACCAAGTAAAGGAGACACATTCACCGTTCTTCATTTAATAGCTGTCTTATCCAAATTGTAAAGACATCACAAACACCTTGGCATCAGATCACTGAACTCTTGTACTGAATATGTACATAATAACACTGGCTGTGCAAACTTATATTAAAATGCCGATACTTTATGGACCTCCTTTTTGCTATATCTCTACTCTCTTGTTTCGATCTTTTGTTGTAGGGGACCTGCTAAAGTTTTGTTCTCTCTTGGATCATTGTGGGAACCAGTGTATGCTCCTGAGCTTCCAAACCAAAGACAGTGCTTGAGATGCAACATATGTAAACATTTTTATATACATGTGTTCCTCACTTATTGCGGAATCTCTATACGGGATTTATTGTGTTTCGGATACATTTCTGTTTATTATACTTACTGTTGATAATATTTTCAGAATTTTTATAAGGGTGACATTTTTTACACTGCTGCCTTATGTATGGCTGGGATGTTTGAGAGTAGATATCATTGTTTTGATAACATATGGTAAATAGATAACCATAGTATTAGGACACTCAGAGTTTTTGGGATAGAAACATTAAATTGATTCATGATGATTTTAAATATTCTGACAATTGTGTAGGTCACCAGTATCCTCGTACTTATATGATAAGCTTCATCTATACCTGACCTTGTTACTAACAGCAAAATTTCCCCCAACAGTCGATTTCTGCTTGATGCTCCGGAGTCTGAACTAGGAAACCCTATATCCTTGTGCTTTCTGACTGAGTTGGCTTACTGGTTCTACCTGGATGAGTATGCAGAGGAAGATGATTCGCTCAACAACCTTAAGTTTGATCCATTTGCTCAACAGCTTCTGAATGTAAGCCATATTGCCTCTGGCAAGACAGTGATAAGTGTGATTGATGGTAAAAGTGTTTCTGTTTTTGGGTCACCCTGCCTTGGTGGGAGATGGCCAATGTGTTAAAAAAAAATGTATTGAGTGTTTTAGTGAGGAGCCATCAGTGGCTTCACCTCAGCTATTCCTCGTATTTGAGTGTTAATGTTAAGGGGTCTGTTTCCCCCTTTTGCATGTTTACCTATTATTATGTAACTGGTTACATGTTCCGTTACTAATCGTATTAATTAGATTTTATTTCTCTGTATCCCTGTAATGTTTTTATACAGTCTCATTTCTTTGTAGGCAAAAATTATCATTGTGTATGTGTATGCATGTAAAATATTCTTCACTGCATTTACTAATCGCTGACAATACTGTACATTTACCATAGTACGTACAGTAAAATATTTTGGGCATCATATTAAAATTCTTCACATATGGCAGAGAGTTGGGTTCAAGCCTCAGACAGGAACCATTGAGGACATGCTGCAGGGTTTCCGGGACTTCAAGCATCGCGTGCCAACATACGGTGGGCTCTTGCTCAATGAGGACCTTAGTCAGGTTCTCCTTGTACAGGTATGTTACTGAATAAAACACAATATGCAATTTGTGTCTTATTCATATATTTGTCAGTATATTTTACAATTGATATACAGGTATGTTCCTAGGTAGTAAATTGGTAGACAGCAACTGCCCAGGGAGGTACTACCATCCTGCTAAGTGAGTGTACAGTAGAAGCCTGTAATTGTTTTACATGATGGTAGGATTGCTGGTGTCCATTTTTCTGTCTCATAAACATGCAAGGTTTCAGGTACGTCTTGCTACTTCTACTTACACTTAAATCACACTACACATACATGTACAAGCATATATATACACACCCCTCTGGGTTTTCTTCTATTTTCTTACTAGTTCTTGTTCTTGTTTATTTCCTCTTACCTCCATGGGGAAGTGGAGCAGAATTCTTCCTCTGTAAGCTATGCGTGTTGTAAGAGGCGACTAAAATGCCAGGAGCAAGGGGCTAGTAACCCCTTCTCCTGTATAAATTACTAAATTTAAAAAGAGAAACTTTTGTTTTTCTATTTGGGTCACCCTGCCTTGGTGGGATATGACCGGTTTGTTGAAAGAAAGAAGAAGAAGATTTTACAATTGATATACAGGTATGTTCCTAGGTAGTAAATTGGTAGACAGCAACTGCCCAGGGAGGTACTACCATCCTGCTAAGTGAGTGTACAGTGGAAGCCTGTAATTGTTTTACATGATGGTAGGATTGCTGGTGTCTTTTTTCTGTCTCATTAACATGCAGGATTTCAGGTACATCTTGCTACTTCTACTTACACTTAGGTCACACTACACATGCATGTACAAGCATATATATATACACACACACCTTTCTGGGTTTTCTTCTATTTTCTTACTAGTTCTTGTTCTTGTTTATTTCCTCTTATCTCCATGGGGATGTGGAAAAAAATTCTTCCCCTATAAGCCTTGCATGTTGTAAGAGGCAGCTAAAATGTTGGAAGCGAGGGGCTAGTAGCCCCTTCTTCTGTATACATTACTAAATTTGAAAAGAGAAACTTTCGTTTTTCTTTTTAGGTCACCCTGCCTTGGGGGTATGGCTGGTTGTAAAAAAAATACAGGCATTGTATGAAGAACTAGAAGTGCAGGACAATGCAGAAAGTAGACAGGACATAATTTGTAGATCAATTGAGTTTAAAAATTAGAAAGGAAATAAACCTTTTAGTTGGTTTGAATGGCTGGGCTAAATTCTGCAACTACAGCTGGATAGGCAAGAATCAGAGGTGAGTAAAGCAGATATATTTACGACTATTAGAATCAGTGGGAAGCGCTAAACAGATTATACAGGCCATGGGGGAGGAATGTGGAAGGCATTCAGGCTTAATTTGGGAACTGGGCACAGATCGCAATACCAAACTGCAAGAGCCCGTCACCAACATCAAGGAACCTTCCTTGAGGGGTCGTTAAGCATAACTTATTTTACAATGATGAAAAAAGACTTTCAGAACTTACATTTAGGAATATCAATATGTATGTATCTCATTTACATCAGGTATTAGTTTGACTTTGTATTGTATTACATAATTAGTATTCATTTCCATTATTTAAAGTTACTCTTATTTATTATGTCTAGCTTGTTGTACCATACAGATGTTACTTAAAAAGTAATCTTTCACTTTATAAGTTTGTATGACAGTTTTTCCCCATTTCAAAAATTTAGTATTTTCTTCCTGATGATGATGTTACATTGTAATATAAGCATTCCTTGTGTGAAGCTAAACTGTCTTCCTATTGCCATAGGATAAGATAATAAAAATGTTTACTGTTGCTTTCCTTAACAGGGATTTTGGCACCGTGCTTCATGGGGTTTTCCAAAAGGCAAGATCAACGTTGATGAGGAACCCCATAAGTGTGCTATCAGAGAAGTGAGTTTCTCTTACATTTTCATTAATACATTTTTAGTGTTATTCTAGGCTCCATATTATGACTCATTTAGGGCACTCTGATAAACCTTTCATACTCTGATGAAAAATAATTATTATTATCATTATAATCAAGGGGGAAGCGCTAAACCCGGAGGATTATACAGCGCCTGGGGGGGGGGATGTGGAAGGCATTCAGGCTTAATTCGGGGAACTGGAGCACAGATCCAATTTCCTAAATCAAGAGCCCTCACCAACATCAAGGAACCTTCCTTGAGGGGGATGAAAAATAAATGCTATCATTTTCTTACATTTACCAGAAATTGGCAAAAGCAGAAACATTGTTTGGTTATGATTGGTGTGTAGTAAGTTTTTGCTACAATGTTTACCTAAGGTACTGGAAGAAACTGGCTATGACATATCACCACTGATCGACCCAAATGTTTACTTGGAGACTTCCATTGGGGAGCAGTTTGTGCGTCTCTACATCATCCCAGGAGTCTCCACAGCTACAGAATTTGTTCCCCGCACCAAAGGAGAGATCAAACAACTCAAGTGGTTTCCCATCAGCCAACTGCCGTCACACAAGAATGACCGCAATTTTAATAAGGTCAATGGCTCAACTAACATGTTTTACATGGTGATGCCTTTTGTGAAGTAAGTATCATTATCCACTTATTTGTTGTTGATTACATAGAAACTGGATGGAGTAAGAGAGACACACAGAACTTCATCTAAAATTGTTAGTGTGGCAAAACATTATGCTTTTTCACCTCTAGAAATTTAGGTTTTGTAGTATTATTATAGAACATCCTTCTACCCTTTAGCAAAGTATAAAGTGCCTTGTAAATAAAGCTGGATTAAAAATCGTGCAACAGTCAGTGAACCAGTTCAGTTATATTTAAAAATGATACACTTCAAGTAGGTAGTAGGTTGGTAGACACAACCGCCCATGGAGGTACTACCGATCATGCAAGTGAGTGTAAAACGAAGCCGAATTGTTTTACATGATGGTACGATTGTGTTGTCCTATTTGTCTAGTCCATATACAATATGCAAGATTCCAAGGTAAATCATTGACTATTCTACTTACACTTAGTCCCCACACACATACAGTACAAGCATAATAATACACACCCCTTGGTTACTTCGATACGTTTCGTTTCTAATTCATTGTTCATGTTTATTTCCATTATCTCCATGGATGGAACAGAATTCTCTCTGTAAGCCTGCGTGTGTAAGGCGACTAAAATGCCAGGAGCAAGGGGCTAGTAACCCCTTCTCCTGTATATCATTACTAAATTTAAAAGAGAAACTTCATTTTTCTTTTGGGCACCCCACCTCAGTGGGATACGGCGTTACGTTGAAAAAAAAGAAGAATTACACTTCAAGGCAACATAGCTAAGTTAGTTACATGTAGCCAAAAAACTACGATTTAAATCATTTTGGGTATGATTAAATCATGCTGTTTTATAGTGTTACAGATTGTACATATACATAAATTTCTCCATGGGAAAGTGGAAATGATTCTTCCTCTATAACGTGCCTGTGTTGTTTGTTATTGCAACATAACATGCCAGAGCAAGGCTTAAGCAACTACCTTCTCCTGATTTACATTACTAAATTTGTAAAGTAGAAACTTTCTAATTTTCTTATTTTGGTTCACGCCTCTCGGTGTGGGATAGGCCAGTTCGTGTTGAAAAAAAAAAAGAGAACATAGATAGTTCCGACAGACGCAAGCCTTTCTTTAAGAGTACCTAACATCAGCTAATTTAGTTCTCTAAGTGCCCAAATTAAAATGATTGTTAAATCTTAAAATAATATTAAGAAGGGTATGACATTAAGCTATTATTTTGAATTTTAGCTTAATTTTTCAATGTACATGTATTTCTTTGAAGTAAGAATTAATGGGTGGTCCTTCCATAGCAATCGTCTGACACTGGAAATTTTCTGTTAAATCATAACATGTTCAATTACATTACTAAAAAGTTTTAAATGCAAGGCTTTGTGTACAGGTACTTAGGTTTGTGCTTGGCCCAAGGGAGCTCTACAGAAGTGGCTGGCTAGCCGCCATAGATCAGTGATTGGAATGCAACGAGTGCCGCAGGGAGAGAGGGAAGTCGTTTTTGACGTCACCGGTTCCTCGAGTACATCTGTAAACACCACCAAAGTTACAGCCAACAGACACAGCAATACAACCTCTACAACTGGATCTAGCAACACACAGCCCACCTCAATACCTAAGTAAAGCAGAAGGCATCAGCCTATTTGCACATATATCCAGTTAGATTTTATTAGGAATATTTTCAAGTGCATGGCTATAATTCCTTATAATATTCATTTACAATATGTCTTCTCAGGATTCATCTTCCCTTTGAGGAAGGAGGTTACTGAGGAACATCTAGTGTGGTAAGTGTGCAACCACATAATATTATGTGAGAGATATCAGGAAACTGTAATGGGACTTGAGTCCTAGGTGGAAGTTACTATGCCTGCACTTTAAAGGAAGGGTTTGGGATATTTAGCTTATTAGGAGTACATCTGAACTGTCAGTATCTGAGTGCCTTTGCAAAGACTGATAGTGGGAGAATGTGAAGAGTTTTTTTGCGTTACCCTGCCTCATGGGAGAATGCCGAGGTTTAAATAAATAAAGTGTACATCTCACAACAGAGTCAAGAAAAAAACATTGAATTTAATACATTATGGTATTGTGTTAGGTATGTAGATTGCATTACTATGATTGAGCAAATAATTCAGATAATATTTGTATAATAAAACTGATTTTGGTAGGCAAGGAGCAAAGTAAGCCCTTCCTGTGTAAAATTATATTATTATTATTTTGTATAGTAACTGAGAAACTATCGTATTTTCCTTTTGGGCCACCTCCACCCGTGAAATAGCCGTGTGTGAAAGGAGACCATTCGAAGATGGTGGGAAACTGTATTTATGTAGGTATGTATGCTTCTAGACTAGTTAGGTATCCATAATAGTGAGCATTTACCTGTGGTGACTGGGAAAGTACTTATTACAGTATTTTACTTGAAAATTAAGCTTTGTCTAAGTATAATTATGCACTTACCTCAGGGAAATTACTATACAACATAATACCCAGGTATCTATTTTGCTAGGTGACAGGGGCGCAAATGTAAGAGACTTGTTTGGCCCAGACTGGGGGGAATTCACACAAATCAGTCACTTTTGTTGTGAGTCATGAGACTATACCGTTTTAGTGAAAAACAATGTAACTAATTGTTACTGGAAAGTTTAGTGTGTCATTGTGTTGCAGGCTGAAGATATTGTATGGATTTATTTTTGCATTTTGCTAGGCAAATATGTTCGTACTCCAAATACATGGTGAGTACTAATAATTTTTTATTTAATGTATTATAGCTCAAGAAAGCAAAGTAATGGTTCTGTATACATTGAAGGATGGTAAAATTAATTTTAATATTAGATTTGTTGTACATTACTTTCCTGGACATTATACAGTATAGTGGAAACACTGTATGTGAGGACCAACGCTCAGCCCCATCATTGATAAATATTCTGGAAACACATGTGTGGACTCATCACAAAGATGTCTGGTTTAACACTGTATATGAGGCTCCTCCAACCTTTCCAGTAATGTTTGGGAAATGCTTTTGTTACCCCCTAAAAATGAAGAAATTTCTGAGATAATGTGTGCAAAGAAAAGATAATTCATTACAAAATTATTGAGTTTATATATATATGTGCAGACAAACCTCCAAGTGGCAATAATTAAATCTATACTTGATTTACATTGCACACAACTTTTTTTTTACGGAGGAAGCCACGCAAGTTTGAAAGGTTGCGCATCAACAAGACGCTCACCGCGAGTATAGAAAACTTCAGCAAGGCAAAAGTCACGCAAATTTTATTTGAGGTACAGTACAGTATTAAAGTTTTATTGATGTAAAGAAGGAATGTGAAATACAACTTCGTATGTGTTTTGTGGAAATTATACGTGTATGGGGTAAACAGTATAGGATCTACAAATTTTCATATCTTCATTTTATGGCATTAAGTAATTGGTTAGGAAAAAATGTTTATCAGGTACATTGGAGAACTAGGGTTGATAAGTTTTGTTTTAACAGTAATTTGTTTATTGTCAAGATTAAAAGTAGTAGTGGGTATTCTGTATTTAATTTTTAGTACAGAATTATCTAGACATGAATTTTAGGAACTTGAGAATTATGTATGTACATACACTTTGTGCCTGGCCACATTATAATCATAACAAAGTGCTAAACTCTTAAGGGTCATACAGCATATCTGACCACATTAATATTATAATATTTACAAAAATGGCAAATCCCATGTTGGTTATTCAGCAGTGTAGTTACATTTTCATACTGTTGTATACTTTCACAAATCAGTAATGTGTAGAGAAAACATGTCTCTTTTATTCTACTCTCATACTAGATAATACGACATGACACACTGTCTGTCAGTTAATAATTTGAGCAAAGAACAAGGATTTAATGTCATGAAATGAAATGCACTAGTGTGTGCAGTTCATGATAGCTCAGTTGGAGGGTGACGAGATAATACCCCGCCTCACTAGCTGAGTTCCACACTTCTTACAAATTAGAATGCCAAATAAGCAAAATTATTTTAAACTGTGACCAGTGTCTGTCTTCCCACTCCACCTGGTATTGGGTTGGATGTTGAAACTGCACTGACTGTGAGTTCAAAATATTACAACTTGTAGTAAAATAAAGATATTATTATAAGTACATGTTCAGGGTATACAGTCCTAGCTGATAACAGTGACATACTACTATATAGAAAGTCCCTTGTTATGCTCCGCATTTCGGGCAAATTAGGTCAGTGTCCCAGGATGCGACCCACACCAGTCGACTAACACCCAGGTACCCATTTTACTGATGGGGAACATAGACAACAGGTGGAAAGAAACACGTCCAATGTTTCTACTCTGGCTGGGAATCGAACCCAGGCCCTCACCGTGTGAAGTGAGTGCGTTGGCCACCAGAGCCCCCACTTGAGCCAAGAAATTCTTTCCCCAATAATGAAGTGTTAATTGTTTGGATTACAGAACACCAAGAAGAAAATCAAAAGTTTACCTTCAAGAGCAGAGGGAAAGGACGCACTAATAAAACCAATAGAGAAAACCAGCCAGCAAATAATGGAAGCAGCGGACAAGCCACCACGTGGGAAACAAAACCACATTTCCGCTCATATTCTTGGCAGAGTTTTCACATTAACAAGAAGGAAGTGATGGATGCAGTTGAAAGTGTGTGGAGTAACGTAACGTTTGCCTTGTAACAAGGTACTGTCATCACCAGTGTCTGATAACTATTATCAGCATTAATTCTTTCCAATACAAATAATACAGTTAATGCATAGTTTTTAGTTGATTGCAGCGCTTCAGTGGAAACATTTGACCAGATGTTTACAAAATACTCATAAGTTCTGCTTCAGAATGTCTTGTGTATGTATTTTAATTTTTATTCTTATTTTTCAGTAATTTTGGGGTTGATTCCAACAAGAAGCTGATTTTATACAGTACAGCATATACTTATATATGCAGTGGACCCCCGCATAACGATTACCTCCGAATGCGACCAATTATGTAAGTGTATTTATGTAAGTGCGTTTGTACGTGTATGTTTGGGGGTCTGAAATGGACTAATCTACTTCACAATATTCCTTATGGGAATAAATTCGGTCAGTACTGGCACCTGAACATACTTATGGAGTGAAAAAATATCGTTAACCGGGGGTCCACTGTATTATTATAATGTACATTTATGGATCTCATGCAAATATAAATTAGTAATTGTTATTATATTCAATTAATTTTAGGATGAAAAACTAAATGTTGATAGTGCAA